GGGGCTTCCTGGAGAACAAGCATCAGCGGGGACCCCCCGCACCTCCCAGCAAAGCCGCAGCTCTAACACGCCGCCGGCAAAAGGGTTTTGTCACCAGAGCCCGTTCTCAGGGATGTTTCCGCCCATGCAGCAGAGCGAGGGGTCTCTGCTCAGAACCCACAGCCCGGAGGGGGTGGCTGCGGGGTTGGGGGGATTTTCAGGAGGGTTTGCACTGCCGCTGGGGTGATGGATTCCCTCTGGGGCGGCTGTTGCTGATCCCCACAAACCTGCAGTTCCGGGTGGGATCGTGTTTGTTCTCTCCTGAGCTCCAGGGTGCTGGTGGCGTTTCTTTTTGCTCAGTTCTTTTTGGGCTTGGGGGTGTCGTACTTCCTCTTGCTCGAGTACCACAGCAGCAGCGGGATCCCAATAGAGGGCAGGGTCATCACACCAAAAGCTGCCCAGTCCAGCTAGGAGAAATCGTCAGAAAGTCATCAGATCACGTACAGACGAGTCTTAGAACCATCTGATGATCTACTCTGAAAGCTTCTGGCCCAAATCCCAGAGCGCCAGCGCCTTCCCAGAGGCAGCTGGGATGAAAACTCTTGGCTTTTCCTGTCCTACTCTTCTGAACAACGGATACGGACTAAGTGCAATCCACGCCGGAGTTTTCTGGGTGACCGCAGCGGAATTTCAGGCTGCAGGGTACTTACAAAGTGTGGGGAGAACCTCCTGTCGAACTCCCGCTGAGCCAGGATTCCTCCCTGCCCAGGAGCACTGGTGAAACCAACCTGAAAAAGGAAAAGATGGGATTTGCCAACTTTCCTTCGTGGATCCAAGAGCACGGTCAGGTGTGTCTGATGGAGGCAAGGATCCTACAAAGAGTCAACTCACCACCACCTGTCCGCCCTCCTGCGCCAGGTACGTGATGGTGGCAGAGGTGAAGTTGAAGTAACCAGCTTTGAGAGGCCGCAGAACCACCGTGTGGGACACGTTACTCGCTCTGAGACCCGCAAGTTAAGGAAAACGGTCGCATTTCGAAGGAAGAAATAAAGAAGAGCCTCGAACCAGGCAGAAAAGTCAGTCCTGCCAACAGCCCCGAGTCCTCAGGGGTTACAGTCCAAGACCTGGACTTGTTTGCACGGAATTTTTTTTTTTTTTTTTTTTTTTACACAGCACCTTCCAGGAGAACAGAGGTTTGCAGTCAGTACCCTGCCCAGGGGCTGGAGCGCTGGAATTCCAGTGCCAGTGAATGAAGAAAGGAGCTACAGGATGCTGAGGGGTAAGGAGGAGTGGTGGGAAACATTTCAAAACGTGAAAAGATACGGAGCAATCCTGTCCCACTTGACGTTGAGCATCCCGGAGACAATGCCAAAATCTTCTGGGGGGAAAGAATCATCGGACAGCTCCACGTCTAACGCAGCACTAAATGCAACAAAGAAAGGGATGAGAAGAGAGTCTCAGACGTGACATTATGCTCGCTGCACCAAAGAGGGGTGACAGTTCAGCAGCTGGAAGAAGTGATTTTTGAAACATAAAAAGGCCCCAAGAGAAGATGAGTGGGAGAGTTGAGGTGTATCACAGGGAGACTGCGGAAAGAGGAGGGCAAAGCTGAGAGAAGCTGCAAAAAGAGAGAGGAACTGATGTGAAAAAGAGCTGAAAGCCGAGAAAAGGAGCAGGGGGAGCAGAGTGTCACAAGACACAAAAGTAACTGGACCAAGAGCTGGAGAAACCCCAGGGAGAAAGCAGGGACAACAGAGCAGGAGGAAAAAGGCAAATTCCAGGGTGAAACCTTCAAGCACTGGTGGTGAACTCGGAGTGAGGGGGAGCCTAGAAATAGTCCCTCACCCTGCAGCCACACACACACGTAACATTTGCCCCTCGTCAGTATTAAAAGATTGGACCAGGCTCACCTGGAGCCGACGTTGTAGATGTTGTACTGCAGCGTCAAGTCCTTGCCCTCCACCGCGTATCTGTTCAACAGAGATTTGGATGCCAGCAGCCTGGCACCTTCCTCACAGTGGGCCACGTAAAACAGGGCGAACACAGGGAGAATCAGGAGCTTCATCTAGAAGCAAAACACAACGGAATGTCATTAAAAACTTAATTGCAAAAAGAACACAAACAGGACAACGTAACTTCTGTTATTCTTTCCGCTCCAGGCCCTGAGA